TGTACATTATTCAGATGTCGATTCCTGAACTGCTAACATCTAACCGGCGATCACTCAATATTTATCGTCAATATCGACCAAGAAGTAAGAAACGGAAGTATGTTAATAGTGTAGAATTATCTAAACGGAATACTAAGACATAACTTAGCTCTTAACGTAACCTTGTTAATTAAAATACTATGAAAATATGAACATCTGATCAGTTTAGAAAAGCTTATTATTAAAATCAGTAAGTAACAAACAATAATTTTTTATATAATTAACCTTTAATTCTTCCTGTTCAGGTGATTGTTAATTGACCGGTAATAATAGTATCCATTAATATTTAAGGTAGTTTACAATATTTAACAGTAGAATATTTGCATTACAGTAAGCCTGTAGCTCTAACAGGGTTACTGCCGGTCCCAAGCCCGGGTAAAGGAGGAGGGTTGGGCATGGGGTTAGCGTCCCCATCCCGTAGAAAACTAACTCGCTAAAAAAACGCTTACCAGAAAAAATAATCCAAACCATTTAAACTCTGCCCTGGGAGTTAGAAGGTCTTCAGTTAGAAGAATTATGACGCTTCATGGTGAAAGCCGAGTTCCTTCGGAAGCCACGAGGCCGATGCCCCTTCTAACAACCAGAGCAAAAATTTTTATAGGTACATGGAACGTTCGAACAATGTGGGAAACCGGGAAGACCAGTCAAATAGCAATGGAAATGAGGAGATACAACTTAGCAGTACTGGGAATCAGCGAAACCCACTGGACCCAAGCTGGACAGAAAAGGCTAGCTACGGGAGAGATGCTGCTATACTCCGGTCACGAAGAGGACAATGCTCCACACACTCAGGGAGTCGCTCTTATGCTGTCCAAAGTAGCACGAAATGCACTTGTAGGATGGGAGTCTCACGGATCCAGAATCATCAAAGCATCATTCAAAACAAAGAAGGAGGGGATCTTAATGAATATTATCCAATGTTATGCACCCACCAATGATAGCAACGACGACATTAAAGATCAGTTCTACGAGCGGCTGCAGTCAATCATTGAGAAATGCCAAGAAAGGACCTAACTATTCTGATGGGAGATCTAAATGCCAAAGTCGGAATAGACAACACTGGATATGAAGATATTATGGGACGACATGGACTGGGAGAAAGAAACGAAAATGGAGAAAGATTTGCAAATTTGTGTGCATTCAACAAATTGGTCATAGGAGGCACAATATTTCCACACAAGCGTATACACAAGGCTACATGGATCTCACCGGACCACACTACAGAGAACCAAATAGATCATATTTGCATCAACAAAAAATTCCGAAGGACAATGGAAGATGTGAGAACCAGGAGAGGTGCTGACGTAGCTTCAGATCACCACCTAGTTGTAGCCAATTTAAAACTGAAGCTAAAAAAGAACTGGACAAGTGGACAAACAGCACTACAAAGGTTCAATACAGCCTTCCTTCGAGATACTGACAAACTCAATGAATTCAAGATAGCTCTCAACAACAGGTTCCAAGCCTTACAAGATCTACTGAAGAAGAAGAAACTACTATGGAGGACAACTGGAAAGGCATCAAGGAAGCATTAACTTCAACGTGTCAAGAGGTTCTGGGCCTAAAGAAACACCATCATAAGGAATGGATCTCTATAGAAACACTGGACAAGATCAAAGAAAGGAAGAACAAGAAGGCAGCAATTAACAACAGCCGAACACGAGCAGAGAAAGTCCAAGCACAAGCTGAATACATAGAAGCAAACAAACAAGTGAAGAGGAGCATTAGAGCCGACAAGAAGAAATACGTGGAAGAACTAGCAACGACGGCAGAAAAAGCTGCTAGAGAAGGAAATATGAAACAGCTTCACGATACAACGAAGAAACTAGCAGGGAAATACAGTAAACCAGAGAGGCCGGTCAAAGACAAAGAAGGCAAGCCAATCACCGAAATTCAACAACAGCGTAACAGATGGGTAGAATACTTCGAGGAACTCCTGAATAGGCCGGCTCCAATGAATCCACCGGACATCGAAGCAGCACACATAGATCTTCCTATAGATGTCAACCCACCAACGACGGAAGAAATTAGAATGGCCGTCAGACAAATCAAGAACGGGAAAGCAGCAGGACCCGACAACATACCAGCTGAAGCACTGAAATCAGACATCGAAGCAACCACAAGCATGCTATACCTTCTATTCAAAAAGATTTGGGAGGAGGAACAAGTGCCGATGGACTGGAAAGAAGGACACCTCGTCAAGATTCCAAAGAAAGGAGATCTGAGCAAATGTGAAAACTACAGAGGCATTACACTACTGTCAATACCAGGGAAAGTCTTCAACAGAGTGTTGCTGAACCGGATGAAGGATGCAGTAGACGCCCAACTTCGAGATCAACAAGCTGGATTCCGTAAGGATCGGTCGTGCACAGACCAAATTGCAACACTACGGATCATCGTCGAACAATCAGTTGAGTGGAACTCATCACTATACATCAACTTCATTGATTATGAAAAGGCATTCGACAGTGTAGATAGGAGGACATTATGGAAACTTCTTCGACACTACGGAGTTCCTGAGAAGATTGTCAACATTATCCGGAACTCATACGACGGACTACAGTGCAAAGTAGTGCATGGAGGACAGCTGACAGATGCATTCCAAGTAAGGACTGGAGTCAGACAAGGCTGTTTACTCTCTCCCTTCCTCTTTCTTCTGGTGGTCGACTGGATTATGAAGACCTCGACATCTGAAGGAAAACACGGAATACAATGGACAACTCAGAATCAATTAGACGATTTGGACTTCGCAGACGACCTAGCCCTCCTATCACGTACACACGAACAGATGCAGATGAAGACAGCCAGTGTAGCAGCAGTCTCTGCATCAGTAGGCCTCAGCATACACAAAGGGAAAACCAAGGTCCTCAAATTCAAGCGGAGAACAGCAATCCAATCACTCTTGATGGCGAAACTCTGGAAGATGTAGAGTCCTTCACATACCTAGGAAGCATCATCGATGAACAAGGAGGTTCAGATGCAGACGTAAAGGCGAGGATCGGCAAAGCAAGGGTCGCATTCCTACAATTGAAGAACATATGGAACTCAAAACAACTTTCAACCAATATCAAAGTGAGAATCTTCAATACGAACGTCAAGGCAGTTCTACTGTATGGAGCTGAAACTTGGAGAACTACAACAACCACAATCAAGAAAGTACAAGTATTTATAAATAGCTGCCTACGCAAGATACTCAACATCCATTGGCCGGATACCATCAGCAATAGCCTTCTGTGGGAGAGAACAAACCAACTTCCAGCTGAAGAAGAAATTAGGAAAAGACGATGGAAATGGATAGGACATACATTACGCAAATCGTCAAACTGCATCACGAGGCAAGCCCTAACTTGGAACCCTGAAGGGAAGCGAAAAAGAGGAAGGCCAAAGAACACATTGCGTCGGATTATAGAAGCAGATATGAAAAGGATGAATTACAACTGGACGGAGCTAGAAAGGATTGCCCAGGACAGGGTTGGATGGAGAATGCTGGTGAGTGGCCTATGCTCCTTCACGAGGAGTAACAGGCGTAAGTAAGTAAGTAAGTAAGTAAGTAAGTAAGTAAGTAAGTAAGTAAGTAAGTAAGTAAGTAAGTAAGTAAGTAAGTAAGTAAGTAAGTAAGTAAGTAAGTAAGTAAGTAAGTAAGTAAGTAAGTAAGCTGTTTGATAATATTTCAACGTGTATATGAAAAATCATCTCTTATCCAGACTCCAACTTTACAGAGCTAAACTCAATGGGAAGATCCAAGTGAATAATACCACGTAGATTTAAACTTCACCCTATTGCACAGGCAAGTGGCTATCAGGACTCAGTAGCTGAGTGGATAACGCGATAGCCTTTGAATCGAACGGTACTGTGTTCGAGTCACAAAATGAACATCAATTCTGAAGTGCAGGTATATCCAGATGACGAGTCTCAAATAGGACGGAACACGCGTCCTGGATTCCACTGCCAGACACTATTCATCTTTACTTATAATGCTTGTGAATTAAGGCAATATCAGGGCAATACACACAGTATGCACATATACCAATAAGAGACTGATCAATTGTAGTGCTAAACATCAATGGGAAGATTCAGATAAACAATACCAAGTAAATCTTTTAAGGATAGTTGCTACATTCACCTAAAAAAACATCCTATGTAATTCATGTCGATTCCTTAAACTTTCTTCACTTATTAGATGTCCAATGAGTAAAGCTTACATTATTCTGGAGACAAGTACTTTTCTTAAAACACTCTCTAATGAAAGTGGTTGTCATAATTTGATTTAAACTCTTGATAGAAAAGTTAATGGTATTTCTACTGACCAAAGACAATTCATCTCAGTTTTATTACGTATGTAGAAAAGAAATTTTTGTAAATTATTGGACATATAGTAGTAGTAGAAAATTTTCACTTCACCAGTTCTTTATTAAACAGATTTCACATTAGTTGATAATCCCAACATTGTGACAGTTTAGTTAGTAAGAGATTGTGATGATACCTATCATTATGTCATATTACTTTTTATCATATTTTCTCCAGTTGTTATTCTGTTATATCTAGTTTTTAGTCTAAAGTAATGATGAATATCAATCTACAAGAGGAAAATCAGTTAGAAAAACATTACTTACACTTACTAATTACTTCTCTTTTATTTACTAGTTCATGTGTGAAGTCATGTGTCTCTCGTGTTGTTTGAAATTATACGAATTAAAGAAATAAAAATTCTGAATTCTCCCCCATTTGTGGATAGCAAGACAGCAATTAATCACAATCACGTAATTTGTTGCGTAGTTGTAAGTTGATAAAACTTATTAGGCCAACAATCTAACCAGTAGGAACAGACCAATCAATTCGAGCTACTGTAACAAAGTAACCAATGAGATTAAACGAAATGTTTTACTGAACCAATAATCGTATGGCCCATGGCAGGGGACTGAAGGGTTCGATAAATACATCGATTCATTATAAATTCTAATCTTAGTGTTATATTTGTAGAGAGAGGGGACGATGATACACATTCGCAATAAAAACGAACTTAAATGTTTCGACCGTTTCATTGGTTTTAAAATATGAAAGAAAAAAATCTGTAATTTGACCAAACCATACATCGATTTGCCTGCCCTGTCCGACTCAAATTTTTTGGTCGGATGTCTACCTCTCAACTCCGGTTTGCCAATGTTCGAGGTTAAAGCGAATGTGGGGGCAGAAAATGGGCATGGGGGTGTATATCATACAGACTTGCACTCGTCAATTTCGTCTATTCATTTTTAAAGCGAAAAAACAACTTGAAAAGAAAGAAAGAGTGAGTTAATTTTGGTAGCCAAAATATCGTGAAATATTAATTTCTCTACGAAACTTTAAAAATCGGGATAAAAACATTTTCAGCATTAACTATCGAATCATCTATCACATTTACATTAGTTACTTTGGTTTCGATGCATATTGTCTTACGAATTTTGTAATATCATCTATACATAAATTACATTTTCAAATAAGTTAATTGAATCTGCTAATGACAGACTCACAAATTTTACTTCCAATAATGACAATTAAAGGACATGAAATGGACAATACATTACATATGAATGAATCAGTAGATAATGAAAATTATATCGGTGATTCATGTGACAATTTAGATGATGATAATATGTCGTTTACATCGAATGATCTATCACAGAAGGCAAATCATCAACATGAGCATGAACAAGAAGACAACCGTGATCAACATCAATTCAGTGTTCAACAACATCAACAAAACTCTCCATATAATCTTGGAAATGAAAATGGTCACGAAACACATAATTCTGACGAAATATTATCTAATATGGCTGACATAAAAATGGATACAATGGAAGATTTACAAAAAGATGATAATTCTATGAATACTTATCGAGTAAATAGTAAACAACAATTTAAAGACAATCAATCATCAAATTGTCATCAACAATTAACAAAAATTAACAAATTATCCAATAGTCCAATTAGTACAAACATATCAACGAATACTACTAATACTACTACTACTGCCACGAAAGCATGTGCCAAAAAGTCATTTGTATGGAAATATTTTCATCATCCTGAAATAAAGCACGGTATACCAGATCGTAGCCGAACACAATGTATTCTATGTGATAGTCAATTAGCTTTTAATGCATCCGGTACAACAACTACTATGTTAAATCATTTAAAAAGTCGTCATGGGGAAATCGCTGAACAAGAAGAGACATTACGTCGATTTAATCGTGATTCAAGAAAGAACCAACTACGTAATATGATTTTATCATCTAATGATTGTAAATTATCACCAACTAGTATAAACACTAATAATACAATAATAAAGAATAATGAAATGATTAATTCATTTAATGAAAATACACAAACTATACGAAATATTTCAACAAATCTTATAAATAGTAATAATAAATACAGTCGTGGTACATTATCAGTTGGACAACGTGGTCGACCTCCAGGTTCAGGTAGAAGACAGAAATCTATGAATTGTTCCAAATTAAATGAGAATGTGGATTTTTTAAATCAAGATACTATAACGAATGGCAATTTGAAAGCGGAAGGAAATGCAGCTTATCCAGTTGTAAGTGTATGCCATTTTTGTATTTTTGTGATTTGATATAGTTTAAGAAAATAAGTCTTCATTTATAATATCTGATCTTTGAAATAATGAGACTTGCTTTATAATGCCTAAAACTAATAATAATTGGTGTTATACTCTTACATCAGAACAATTTCTATTCAACTACAACTGAAATAATTATGATCTTTAAAACATGGCTTATTATTAGTTTTAAATAGTACTATTTTCTAAAACTACTTAATTAAACTTGATATAGATAGTCTATTGTACAGGCTAAATTTTCGTGTACTTCATATATAGTTGATTATATCTATATATAGGGTTGTTACCGGAATGAATCTGGTATCACAAATGTTACACGATTATCCACAACATAGATACGCTATTAACATATGTTTTAAAGTCATTTTCATTCAGGAGTAAGGTTCCGGCTTTGATTATATTCAAAGTTTAACTGCATGAGTGAATTTTTAAGGTTTTAAGAGATAGTTGAAAAGGTAAGGCGTATTTCCTAAGCATCGTCAAATAGTTTTATGCTATTATTATGAAGACTTTCAAGAATACAATGCTTTCACTTCTTGGAGTTCATATAATTCACAAGAGATTACATCCAAAACGAGAGATAAGTACTTGGTCGACAGAAGAGGAGTAGATAATCGAGCTTTATCTCTCCTAAAGAATGGATTTTTATTTCCATTAACTTTAGACTACCCTTACTATCTATTTTTGACTAAATTTCAGGTTGATTTCAACTAAGAAATATCAAATATGATGAATTACATCTATTTCGATAATAAATATCTACAATAACGATTTTATAATTTCATATACTTGATTACTTATTATTCGTATGCACCAATTAACTTCGCTAGATGTTAAAATATATGCATTTCGGATGGTTAGTTCTTAATTATTTTCTAATTCATTTCATTCAATTCATTATGTAGTACGATAACTGTTTATTGCTTTTAAAATTATCAGTATAGGGTTGTGGAGATTGTTGAGTTTCAGTTGATATCACGAATGGATAAATATGAGACCATTATTGGAAGTTGGAAGCACTGGACATCCGTCTCATCCTAGTACGAGACTCCTCAACAGTGTGCATCCACAATCCCGAACGCAGGGTTCGAACACACGACCTTCGGTCTCACTGGCGGACGTCTAACCTCTAGCCCACTGAGCCGGTATGTAACGGTGGTAATGTCTATTATAAACCAATTCACGATATCACGCGACCGTCCACTATTGTCTTCAGTGAGTAACTACTTCTACACCAGACACACTTGAACGCCACTGACCACGGCTCCTCACTAAGACTCCAGGGAACTCATCTTGAGGCCAGTCACTTGTGAGTACATGATAATTATCAGCATAGGGTTGTGGAGATTGTAGAGGCAGTTAATCACTGCAAACAATAGTGGACGGTCGCGTGATATCGTGAATTGGTTTATATTAGACATTACCACCGTTACATACCGGCTCAGTGGTCTAGAGGTTAGACGTCCACCGGTGAGACCGAAGGTCGTGTGTTCGAACCCTGCGTTCGGGATTGTGGATGCACACTGCTGAGGAGTCTCGTACTAGGATGAGACGGATGTCCAGTGCTTCCAACTTCCAATAATGGTCTCATATTTATCCATTCATGAAATCAAATGAAACTTATAGAATTATTTCGCTATCTAGTTTCCTAGTGATATTTCAGTTGATTTCAATCAACGATGAACATTATTTTCAAAACTAAGCTAATTTACATATTGCTGTATAATTAACTAATTAATCGCTTATTTTATTAAAATTGATAAATCTATCAAATTATCACCTAATAAACATTATTTCGTATATATTCGTATGACTAAGTTACATTACTATTTGAACCTTTAACAAATAATCAATTTTATTGAAATCACTCAGTTCTTTACTTCATATCAAATATTAGTTATATTGTTATACATATTTATCTTATGTCAACTAGAACGTAAACTAATCCATTTATATTAGATCAGTCAGAATAATGGAAGAGATATACAGATTATTCAGTAAACTCTCCATTTTATTTAAAATCTTATAAAATCATATATGAATTACCTAAACCAAGTAGTCTAACGTGTATCATGCTGGGTACAATTTATTCATACTGAGAAATTTTAACTAATTATAATTGTAATTATTATATAAACTGAAGTTTCAGGTAAACTACCAATTCAAAGGCTATGTAGGAATATTTATAATTTATACTATATAAATATGTATTTCGAATATGCTTTGAAACCAAATTTGTTTAGTTGAATGTAAGAGATGATCAGCGGAATCTAGTAAACATAAATTCTGCTAGTAAAAAGTTTATGTAATCTTTATCAGATTAATGCTTTCAGTGTGCCAGTGATTCATCTCCTGTGTATATTTCATCTGATATAACGAGATAATATCTTCAATCTGCATTCAATGACACAGAAAGAGTTGGGTCAAAATGATTACGTCAACTTCTACTTAATTATTGAATCATGTACGAAAAATCTTCAAAAACTGACTTCGTCCATGTTAGACTACATCACCCATTGTCATATAAAATGATAATCATTTCCCTGTATTACTTGCCACGCTTACAATTGTTAACTCAATTTTGATATAAAATCATAAAACCATTACTGAAGTAAAGAGTTATACAGTGCAGTCAGTTAGTCAGTCATAAACAATGTAGAACCTAGCAAATATGTACATTCGTACAAGTTTCTACATTACATCAGCACAATGAAATGAAATTACTGAAACAAATCCCTGACTAGTAGAAATAACTATAGTATCAATCATAGTAAGGAAGAATAATTTGTGGAGAAAGAATAGTGATGAATGTATCTATACCACTGTGACCTATTCTGAGTCATGTCGTGCAAAGTCTCTAAACACTGATTACAATAATCAGATAGACTACAACCATATACACTTAGTCTACTAGCACGAATCACCCCAATGGCCAATAGCTTTATGAAGTAAACATGAATAATTAATTTGTATTAATGGTGAGAATAAATGAAAAAAAGGACCAGTTTTAAATAAAAATGCCTTCAAGTTTAAGACTATGAATCTTAATTTCAGCAACTGGATAGATGATTAGAATACCCTACTTTTCCCTCTCTCTCTCTTTCCCTCTCTTTGATCAACTCTATTAGTTTCAGCTGTATACAATCCCAAGTTATAATTGAATAATTTAACTATTTATATGTAATAATATCTACTTATCTATCTGTTATATGATTATAATGATTTATATATTACTATCTATGTTGTTTTATTCAGTGACCTTTTTCCTGAATAAATATTTCTAATATCAAAAGAACACAAAGTTTTATTAGTAGTATCTTATCTTAAGATCATCATAAAATATAATGTTATATATTATATCTGATATAAATATGATCATTTTGTTTGTTTGCTATAACACTTGTCAATTTGTATCATGATTTTATATTATAATTTGAAGAATTTACCTAAACATTATTATTTTAATTATAAAATAAGGGTTAATTATTGAACAGATGGATGATTTACGATTTTAAAAAGCTGGTATACATAATCAGGTTTGATGAATGAAAGCGAATGACCGGTTCATCATATATATATAACATCTTCAGTAATCTATCTTATTTAACCGTATAACTTTGAGAATGGAAGTATAATTTATTGATGTTATTTGTGGAAAGTGAAACACAATTAGATTATTTGCTTTGAATGATATATGCTTATTTACTGATGAGTATTATTTGTCCTCTTTTAGACCTAACCCAATCTAGTAATTATTAAAATTTGGGATTTCAGAAACCGAATAATTCCATTTTGAAAGCCTGATGTTGGAAAGAATGGTTACCAAAGTTTTTGACGCTTGTAGAGTATCTATCTCCCCATGAGTCAAAGAGGTTATAGGTGTACACTGCTGAAGTGTATTAAATTATGAAGATAAAATTGTCTATTTTTTCATCTTTGATAGCTCAATGAGAAGGCGAAGTTGATCTGAAAAATGGTGTGACCAGCTTTTTAGAAATATATAGCGCAAATATACCATATTTTTCAGATCAACTCCGTCTTCTCATTGTGCTATCTAAATTTACGAAAGGAACTAACTACTTTGAATTTTCCATTTCCCTTAAATAAATTATGAACCATCGATAAGAGCCATCGTTTAATTATTTTCAGTGAGTTTATTGCAGTGATGTAGATCATGAGCTCCAACATTCTCTCTCATTGAGTTTTTCGAACTATATTCTCAATGTCTATTCATTTCGTCAACGGTGCTAGTACATTATTTTAACTCCTTTCCTATTCATATTGTCAATTTCACCTTGTTCTGTATTATGGCAACCCAGGCCAACGTACATTTTTCCAGCCTATACGTTGGATTTAACTAATAGACTGAGAGAAATATATGATCAACATTTGACTGACCTGTTTTTCTACACCTATAGTATAATTTTAAAACTATTTCTCATGAAATATACGCTTCAAATTAGTAAGAAAATTTCGTAGTTGGTCTTATTAATCGATTTATCAAGTATTAATAAATCCTGGGTTCGAATCTCGCGGGACGAAATCATGGATTTGCACTACTGAGAAGTCTGATACCAGGATGAAATGGTCGTTCGGTGCTTCCAGGCTTTTCATATATATATATATATATATATATATATATATATATATATATATATATATATATATATGAAAGAAGCTTGAAGCTTAGGTTTTTGCATTCATTGGATTTTATAAAATATTTGTTCATAAAGCTCAATATAGTATCATATTCTGAGCGTTTTAGTTGTAACAACTTCGAATACAAAGTTACATATGACATGAGTTTAATTAACTGGACAAATCCTTTAACAATTAATTCTAAAAAAACTCAAATGGTTTCCTTTATGTGCTTACAGTTATTTCAAATCCCAAACCATAGTTATGATTAGCAATACCTCTTAGTATCACTGATGTAACCAACTACAACTACGTATTCATCTTGTTAACCCGATCTCATTATGATAAAATAGTGTAAGAATTTGACTTAATACATGTTTGTGTACCAAGTCGTACAGTGTTTTAAAATATCCTTATCTTATCATTCATAAAGAAGAGTTTACTGATGTCACCATTATAGTTTAAAATCTCAATTACATATTGAAACTCAGAATATTTATTGACTCAGTTTTTGAACAAATTGAATATTAAAAATATTCATCTAACTAATTTTTAAATCTCTCTTACTTATTTATGAAGCAACAAGTTTATAAGGTCTGAAAAGTGTATGTTTAGTTGTTTACTTTTTGTTTTACATATATATTAGAGAGAGGTTTTGTGAATATTATAGTAATTTAGTAGATGAATTCATCAGTCATTTGTAGCTAAACTACCATAGAAGCAATCGACGACCATTTCGTCCTATTATAGAACTCCTCAGCAGTGAGCATCCACGATCCTGCCAAGCGAGATTTCAGATTTTCCATGGTGGTTTAGCTTCAATTGATTCATGAATTCATCTACTAAATTAATTTAATTTAGTCAAAGATATCTACAATATAAAAGTTATCGCCAAAAGTTAAACATAAAATATAAACTATACTATATCAATTTTAATAATTGAGATCATGAGTCAATTCAAGCTAGACCACTATGGAAAACCTGGAAGCAGTGGACGGCCATTTAGTCCCATCTCAATTTATTATACTTCATATTATTATTTAAATCTTTCCACATATGAAATAAACACATGCTCATATATATATATATATATATATATATATATATATATATATATATATATATTTATATAGGCCAAGATATATAAAGGTTTTCATACCATAATCATACATCAAATGGATTTACTAAAGGTGACAGTAAATATTATTTAAAACCGTTTTTCTTTTTAAAAAAATTTCATTCAATGTTTAAATTTACCAACGGAAAAACAAAACACGATACCTAAATTGATTTTTAAATGGTTTCAGAAACGTTTAACAACAATAAAACAAAAAAAAAGAATAGGGAAAAGACATCTATCAAAATTCTATGATTGTTTTAACATATTTCTCTTTATACTAAAAAATTCACTTTAAAATAAATCATATTTAAATACTACAATGTTAGTGTAATAATCGTCAAACAAACAAACAAACAAAAAATTTTTTTTAAATGAAACGTTCTTTAAAACTAAATATCAATATAAACAAAATAAAACTATATAGTATACCCCTTTCACTATCTATCTCACTAATTCATTAGTTCTTTATTCATTCAGTTCTTTGTCAACTATGTTCACTATGTAAATATCTAAGAGAAAATGAATATAAACGTAAATACAGTTTAAAATTTCGATTTCCCCTCCACCATTATATCGTTTTTGGTATAATATTCTCGTTAATCTTGAATAGATCAAGTTTATTTGTTTTCATATGAAAATCAACACAATTCATCTATTCGATGGGATGGAGAGTATTATAAATGACAGTTTAAGTGATATACGTATATTTATATAGGGTCTATCGAACTACATTAGAAAGTGCTTAATAAAATATACAAAGTATATCGGCTTTTGACTTACACGTTAATGTGTTTATATATAGACATATCTTTTGTGACCCTTAAATGTGATCATAATTACCTTAACTGAAGTTGACAGTTTTTAAGAATTGAATGTGATGAACGCAGTTATAACTCTATTCTAATATAATTTCAATAGTACTAATAATCAAAGACTTTATTTGTTCAACTAAGTGAATAGTGCCCCAATCAACTTCAAGCGTGAACTTCAACTTCCAAGTCCTTTTTTTTGGGTGCTTATGATTCATTATGTTTGTCTTGATTCAGCAGTTGTTGAGTAAATTATATTACATATTTTTTGCATGCTAGAACTTGTTTTCTGTCTCCATTAGATAAAGAATTTATACATGGATTAATAAATGCATTGTTTATATTCTAGATTAAGTATACTTTAATCATGTCATCTAAATGGGCAGTTAACATTACAGCCATACTATGAAAGATTTGATAAATTTTGTAAACACTGATTTCACTTGATTCATTACTATCGTGTATAAATTTGATTTCAATTATATTAGAATAATCATACATGTATCTCTATTATATTATTCAATCAATATCTAGTGACTTATCGACAAATTATTTATAATGAATAGGAAAACCTGTTGTCATGGTTATTCTTTCAGAAATATAAGAAACTGTTTAACCTGTGGTTAAGGATAATGTCTGAATTTTTTGTCTGGAATTAGTTACTGATGAAAGTTAGAACTGTGAAAATATCTACTGATAGGGAGATCTCAAGTACTTTGTTACGTTAAAGTTATTCTATGTGTTAGTCTAAGAAGATCAAAGTCTTTCAAATCGCTCATGTCAAAATTATGAGATGTTTTTCTGTCATAATCCCTTCCAGATTATGAAGTTTGAATCTCTTACCAAGTTTGAGTTGATTGTGATTATTATCTGTTTATATGACAATCGCTAGAACTTATCATTATTCTAGCTGAATGTACTCGACATAATACCATCAGATAAACTTAACCAATATTCCATGGAAATACTATATTCACATAGTATCTCTCTTATTACTCAGGAGAATAGTGACATTGGAACTTGATGAAAACCTGTGGTTCTCTTAAGATTCCCATTCACATTCATACTATTGGAAAAAATGAAACGGTTCCCTAGTCTTGAGTCATATATATTAACAGTAGATCAACCTCGTCATGGTTCTTAAATGTCGTCCATTCTGTAACTGTTTGTAGAATGTACTACACAAATACTATTATCATTATTTTTAAACCATCAGCTAATATTCTTATTTTCTCTCATGAAAATTCATTAAAATATAATCGTCATCTTTTTCTTAATAAGTAATAGAAACTGCTTGTCTGGTTTTGTTTACCACTTATTTTTCAGGTAAGGATTTATGTAGTCAACTATGAACTAACTCTGGGTTGAAGGGCTAATGTAATTGCCCGGTTGTTCAAACCAGAGTCGATGAGGTGAAGTTTGAACCTCAGAGAGAGAGAAAGAGAGAATATTCAAACGACTTAACCACTAATACATCGTTTTACATAATCAGATAGTGAAAAGTAATATGACATTCATTTAATGTAAAATAATTTGTCATAACTTTAATGAGTCAATTTTTCATACTTGACGACTATCTTTCGCCATTAGTATGTCAACTAAAAAATTTCCTTCTATTAGTAACAAGTTTAAAGTAATTGCATGTAAGTAATATTGTTATGAGATTTGAAAGTCTTTAGTCTTGTGTTAATGGAGAAATGTATATTTCAACTCAACAAACTACTTCAAATCGTTAACTGATAATTGTAGATTATTGTCTTCGTTTTATCAGAAAGAAATCTTTGAATGTCATTTTAGAAAACATATTCAAAATAAATGGCAATATCAGTCTTTATATAAGAAAACTGGTTATTATATATATTTATATGTCAGTATGTATTAAATTCATTCGATAAACCTAACATTAACAGCATGAATTATGTTCAGTGTATTAGTTCTCTATTCAATCGGAAATAAACATCATGTATATTAAATGAAATGAATTTTTCTCACAGAATTGTTTGTCCCTGTGAAAAGAATGCATTAACAGGTTGTTTTCTTTCTTTTGTTCAAATATAACTGAGAACATTTACGAATTATTAGTATTTACCACAAAATTATTATTATTATTATATTGTTTATCAGGCATCTTTTGCTGAATATATGAGCAGTATATACTATAAGCGGAAATGTACTTCATATAATTATTTTTTTTAAATATTTTTATTATAAAAGTATGGAGGGGTAGCAATTCCGTTATTTGTGTATGATAGTATCATCATATATATATATAGTCAATGAGGAACTTCAGCTGACTTTCGAAATTAAATTTCTCATAGATATTGAAAGACAGACACAGGAAGAATTGCAAAGACATCAATGAGATATGGTATAAAGTATGCAAAATTAAAGGTAGGGAACGAGGTCAAATGAAACGTTTATTTTATTTCTTCCTTCCAAACAAAAAAATATGTAGTTTTTTGTTTAAATGGATTTCTGACTTAGGTTACCTATTTATGCTTATTTTAAGAAAAGAAGATTAAAATATAATGATAATATTATGTGATTCTGCCGGAAACTTCTCTATTTTTTATTTATGTGGAATAAAATTGTAAGTTTCTATTACAGTGTAGATGTTACTCTCTTTCATTTACTTTTGCTAACAGTTAATTATCTGAAAAATATCATAGAAATAAATATAATTCTGACTTCCTACTAACCATTTAACTAAATATTCTTATTGTATCCTCTTTTTTTAACTATTCACATATTACTTCATGTCATTCTTATAAATCCTTGGTGATCTTAGCGGAAAATTTAACCAAGGGGTCTATTAGTTAATTCACACCTGAAAGTATTTTAAACTACGAATAATATTTATTACAAAAAGAACAGATATCGAGTTTGTATCCATATGGTGCAAAGTAAAGCATTGTGTATTTGAAGTGTATTGATAATAAGCCATACTGTGTTACCGCGTATCATAATGGTTATTTTACTAGGTGGAAATAAATATTGATGTAGGACTGTTCATTATTTTAGATTCTGTAATGATGAGCTTAATTAATTGAGTAAAACTTAACAAATGAACAACACATTGCAATAATTCCAATCTATATCACTCAGTTCAAAAGAAGTTTATTTAGTATTGATAAAGGTATCCTTTCCAAATAAAATAACTGTGGATTAGCTAATTCGTTTTTGGCGGTAGTTTATCAAGTAGAAAAAATAGAAAACAGATTTAGTTATTAGTTTATTTAGTATAAATAAACATGTATTTGTCTTCTTATTACTTTTATTTAAAGCTTGATGTCTCTTTAACATGTATATTATTGTTACTCTATTTTTCATTTTGACTCTTACAGACAAATTATCAGACAACATTATCTGATCAGCAGAAAGCTTTCTTGAATGAAATGTTACTGTCAGCCGCTGCAGCAGTATCTGCATCAACAGTCAGTGTATCAAAAAGTGACAATCGAGTGAATGGAAGCTTCATTAATCAAACATCATCACCATCAGCAACTTCATCTCCGTCATTTTTTGCATCACCTACGTTACTAGGACAATTACCGTCAAATGATTCAAATCCTACAAAATCACCATTTACATTATTGAATAATATTACGGGACTACCAAATATACCATTTCAACTACCCGTGAATACACCACAAATCAATTGTTCATCTGGAACGACAACATCGATATCAACGACATCAGCTATTCATGAATTATCACCATCATCGAGTTCCGGTTTAAGTTTAAGTTGTGTAAACAGCCCATTTGAAACATCAACAAATACAGCCACTACAATATCTAATACTGTCTTCATGTCATCACCATCATCCTCTTCATCACCTACTAACTCTCTGGGATATCGTAGTATTACATCACCGATTGGTTGTAGTGGTGGAGGACAATCAAATATTAATATAAGAAATAATCTATTGTCAAATATACGAACAACACATAAAAGTCAAGAATTTAATCATTTACATATAAATAATATTCTAATGAATGGACAATCTTTAAATGTGAAAGATTCATGTAATAGCGGTAACCAAGAAGTTACAAATTTACCATTGAATATGCAAAATATAACTCAAGATAAAGAAAAATTCTTAAATTTAAGTAATGAGAACAATGAGAATATTTTTGATTTAACACAATTGAATAAAACACCCAACTCATCTACTATATTATCAACTGGAATCAATACCAATAATATTAATTCACTATCCATGTTAAATTGTTCATCAGATATAATGATGTCAGCTTTAGGAAATTTTGTTAATTTAATGCCATCTGTTAATAATTTATTAAATGATACTACTACTAATAATTTCACAAATAGTAGTTTGAATAATATGACAACAATGAATCAAGCTGATGAAATTAATCAATCAAATCAATTTACTAATCAGTTATCAAAATCTATGATACAATCAATATCTCCACAACAATATCATCATCATCAACAACAACAGCAACAACAGTTACTAATGGCAAATGCTTGGTTAACTAATTTAACAAATGGGAAATTTTCAAATTATTCTAATAATTTAATTGATCCATGTATTATGTTTAATTTGTTAAATTTAAATTCTAATACAACTATAGGAAATAAATTAAATAATGAAATTTCGAATATGTTACCAACGACAAATTTAAATTATTCAGAAAATTTAAAAATTAAAACAAATACTACTGATAATAGTAATAATAATAATGATAATAATAATAGTAATATAAATCATCCAATTAATTATTTAATAAATAATCAAAATAAAAAATTTAATGAAGAAATTGCAATGAATTGGTCAAATAGTTTTAATAATTCATTACCTATTAATGTAAATAATTTAAATATAAATAATAATAATAAATTATCTCAGCCAATAACAAGTACATTTAATCAATTCACTACATCATTTCAATTAAATAATAATAACAATAATAATAATGAAACATCAATAGGTATGAATTTAATAAATAATCAACAAATACAAGATGGTAAAATAAATTTTTTCTCTTCATCACCACCACCACCATCATCATCGTCATCATCATCATTATCGTCATCATCAATGAATAATGAAGTTGAAAGTTATTCAGTAATGTCGAAAATTTCACTTAATAATAATAATGGTTATGTTAATATTAATAATAATAATAATATGTCTTGTTTATTTCCTAATTTAACTTATCCATCATTGGGACAAGATAAATTTTCTTACATGAATACATTACCTTTTATGATGAATGGTATTAATAAAATAATCGATATGAAAAATCAAGAAATAAATGATGTTTCATTAGATTTAACGACAACATCTACAACTGTCAATAATAATAATGATAATAATGGAGTTACAATGATTACTAACTCTAATAGTCACAGGATAGATGGTAACAACTATAAGCATAGTAATAATAATGATTGTAATTTTGACATAATTAAAAATATAAAAACTAATGATAGTAAGAATTGTATTTTAGATATGAGATCGAATAATCAATTAACTAATCCTAAATATTCTTCTACTGAACAACAAATGATTAATTCATCATTATATTCTTCATCAAATTATACAGTATCAACAAAACGTAAACGTTCACGTCCTGTTTATATTTCACCAGAAAAAGAATTAGTAAGTTTAATTCTGTATATTTTGAATTTTAAATTATGTTTATACATATATTTAAGCGTACTACGTTTATATGGTTTTGAGATGGTAAAAATGATTTGTAGCTCAGGTGAATGATTTTTATGGAGTTTTACTCTCTGAGTTGGATGGTTTGGTAGTGTATGACAATATCTTTTCTAGTTCTGAGTTCTTGTGAAGTCAGTTGGTTGTTGTCCTACTATTGAGTTAGCGGCACTATAGTTTGTCTATTTTTTATTGCGTTTTTTTCACTTATTCCGGAAGTTTTGAGTGATGACTCTAGTGCTGCGAAAAATTTCAGTTTTGAAGTGTCGCTTGTGTTGTAGTTTAATCCCTTTCAGCGTATGTGTTCTATGTATAGAACCATCCAGCTCAGAGAACAATACTCCATAAAAACATTTAGTAAGTCAGTGATTAAGTACACATTTGTATATTTGGTTTTTGAAAAACAAATTAAAATACAAGAGTTGATTTTATAATAAATACACTTCCAAAACAAAATCTACTAAACATGGTCTAAACCTGTAACTGAGTAGACGAAAGTCAAGTACTTTATTCACCCTGGCCACTAGTATATTTTTAGTTTGCTAAGAGGATGGCTTTCAAACTATGGTTTTTATTATACAATTTTGTCTTGATGACATCAATTTAACCATTGTCTAAATAGCCTTAACTTCATTAGGGTTTTCTGTAGTTTATATCACAGGTTGACATTAGTTAGATGGTCATTAAAAAGATAGGAAGCACTGAACTCCTGTTTCATGATGGCATAGTACTCAATAGTTCACGTCTACAAATCCGCTAGGGGTCGAACCCAAGACATTCTGCAATATCACATTTTTAATATTTGAATTCACTGCATTTGTATGCTACTATCGAAAATTTTATTATTTAGCTTCTCCGATTTTTACTACACTTCTGTAGAAGCGTATCAAGTATAAGATTTGATTATTGCACATTAACATTTATCATGTTGTATTTAAATATTCTATATATAACCATTAAATCATGGCTATTCACATCAGCACTTAAATAAAAAATAGATTTTTTATAACTTTAATCTGGAAAAAGAATATAAATGGTTACAAAGTATTTCAATTAACAAGTGATTCAGGTCAAAAATTGGAACATCATAAACATTGAAATCATGATAATTAGGGATACCATTCCCATATCTATAATTATGTTTATTTATTTATTGTTATTGCCTATTCAATAACCAATAAACAATACTGATGAATTTAAAATTAATTAATATGGTTATATGAATTATCATTATTGTATACAATTGGATTCATATTAGATAAGATAAATTTACATTACAATGGTTATTTGAAATTGACCGTTATAAGATGAAGAAACAATCGGTGACATTATTATAGTGGGGTATGCATCATATCTATTTATATGTGTGTATAAATTATAAATCATTATTTATTTGGATTTTCTTATCATCAATTTTCTCAGGCTTCAATGCAAATGTAATTAATAATCTTAAATGTTTCCCGTAGAATGTTCTAGGCAGTTTGAATATATATATATATATATATATATATATATATATATATATATATATATATATATGAATTCGAATAAAATCGACTTAATTTCTTAGGACTTGATATGATCAAAATGATATAAGTGTGTTTATATACTTAAACGATAGTTCAAATATTTGGATTTAAGTCACCTAAATTAACTACGTACTTTCATTATTCCATAAATGCAATAAATATGGAATGTGTTTGTGTATGTTTACGAAGTTAGGTTATTAACTCATCTGCGACACATCCTACTAATAAAAAAGAGTAGAAAGTTAGATGATTTATTGGTAACGAGAAGTCGAATTTAAGCATCTGCTCATCAATGAGCTACTGGTCATTCCATTGTCATTTCTTTTGACAGGGTTACATACTGTGAGAGTACTTTATTTATTCAATTTCTTTTTTACTGAACTAGGTTATATGAGTCTAAGTGGAAAAAAGAAAACAAAAATAATCTCATTTTCTTATGAATACTCTATGATGTAAAATAGAATGGGAAATGATGGAAAAAGGAGCCATAATCAATTAATGAATAGTTTTGCAAAGAATCACATTATAATCTGTCTAATTAAACAAACTCCATCAATGTAACCATCACTTAAAGTGTTAAATATATAGTATATTATCTTGTATTATTTCAATTATTAACTGACATTACCTGATATTTTTCAAGTGACCAAATTGTGGATATCATTAATTTACAACAAGTTATATCTATCTAATGAAGAATAAATAAACCTTACTTCAATAAACATTAGCAAATTTATATAACCTGAACTAGGAATGCCATAGATGAAGACGATTATTCCTTTGTACTATTTAAACTTGGATTAATTTTAATTTGGTTATTTATTCGCTGAAGAAGTGACTTACACTAAGCCACGAAACGTCAGAAAATCTAATTTTTCTACCTATTGGGATATTACAAATATACTATTTATTTAGATGATTGTAGTTTATTCATTCGATTAATTAGATTTCAACTAGTAAAATGAATGAACATAAACTGTAATGATTATTAGTTTACGTATCAAATTGATCCCTTGGTTGTATCAAATTGATTTTATTGAAACTTTATTAATTATTCATATTCTATGTAATACAGTGGATCAGTGTTAAGTTGATATTTAAAATTGTAAACCAACAGTTTATTCAAATCTTATAATCAGTAATTAGAATGTTTTACTGTCAGTTACTTCAAGCACATCTGGTTACCGAAAGTCATAAAAGATGCCATTTACAGCTAAAGTAAAATGTCACCATATTTAGATGATAGTCTGTTTCTAATTCATTTGATTTAAATTGTTTCAACTGGATATATTTGTTCTTTTCATTAACTATACAAGGGGCATTAGTATTCAGATATTTATTGCCTTCTAGTCAAGTACATAGTGAGATAAATTATTCAGGACATGATTTTGATGTAGCTTCAAGAAAGTCCTACACACTGCACTTTCGTGGCCGATGTGTTGTCTAAGAAACTCAAGCGACTAAAGGCGAATATTCGAGGCTTTAACCAGGTTGGCGGATATCGAGGATCAACCTAATGGAGTTGGAAAACACTGATTCCAAACAATGGTGCACACCGGTTTCAGCATCCTGACGGAATAAATGGCCTATGAACCTATTGTTGGCTACTGACTACCATGAGGCTGCATCTCCTAACGTCGTTTCACTACGTTAAGGATTAGACCTGTAGGTCAAAAGTTTTCGGAATGACCCCTTAAGGAAACCACTTGCTTCGGTATGGGCACTCAGTCAGTATGATAGCCCTCACACAAATCGAAAGATATAGTGTGTTGTATATATACTTGTTGCTTACTTGTACCTATGACTATATGTTCAATAATTAATAATAATAACAAGTAGCTTTATATACGTCTATTCGATTTATGTTTTGTACCTGATGTAATATCCTCTATATGGATACTGAATGCTAGGCATTTACCTTCATTATTTAACAGAAAAAGAAGTGATTCTGTAGGTAAATGTAAAACTGATTAGTTCACAATTGTACTTATACATAATTAGATAGTGTTAAATTGTAGTATGATGTCTGCTTAAAAAAAACTAAGATGACGTAAATCACTTTGCGTTTATTAAATTTCTTTCTCTGTATTTACTTTATGTGATCTAATCATTCATTTTTATTAATTAAACTATCTTGAAATGTAATCATTAAATTATAGAAATACATAGATCTTTTATATGGCATCATTTTGTATTTTCAGCGCTTCTTGAATTTTTTTCTTCTTTTCTTTTCATAGAAACGTAGCTCCATTGAATCAAATCAATCATTCGACGGTGAAGATATGAAAATGAAAAGATATCATACAGAAAAGGCTAATTTAAGTATAAATAATCATAATAATACTGATTCGTGTATTGATGATAAGAAATCCTGTTGGGAAATAAAACAAAATGTACAAAATATACCTGAACAAGACAATGAAGAACATGATAGTGATGAAGAGCATAGACTGACTATTAATCAGTCATCATCATGTTCGTCATCATCATCATCTTCATCATCAATGTCATTGACAAGAAGTACATTTATGCAGTCAAAATCAAATACTATGGTAACGCGTAATCAATTATCCTATCATGTTGCTCAGTATCTAATTAAAGATATAAAACCCCCTGAGACAATCGATGGGGAAGGTTTTCGGGTATGTTGAATTTTAACTTGTTTAAATTATATTACTATTAGATGATAAAATCCAATCTGAATTTACCTTGAATAAGATAAACATATTATTGTTTTATAATGTATCATGTATTTTAATAAGCTATCACAAGAGAATGATATTTAATACCTTTAACACGAAATGACATGATTTAGCCTAGTGGTATTAAACATGATGTTTGTAGAGAGGCTTAATTGCCCTCCCTCAAGAACGTAAATTTTTGATGATAGAGTATGTCAACTTCTCACTGGTTTTCTAGCAATAGTTTTTTTCATGAAACCAACTATCTTTAAACGGAAATTTGAAATACCTGTAGAAATTATTTGATCATAATATTGTCTTTTCGGGTGATAAGTTATAAAATGATGAAATTCTAAGTGTGAATAGGTTGTGAACTAGGCTTAAATAGTGTAAACGAGAGGAGTAAAAAAAAACAAGTATCAATAACCATACAGTATAATTGATCTGATTTAGATTCCTATCGTAAAATTGCTTCAATAGTTTTCATGTGTTTGAACGAAGAATTTCATCACTCATTAGTGTCAATCGAACGATACATTCCTAAAGGATCAATCAATATTGGATAATTCAAGAAAAACGTAACATTGGATTATTGCTAACTCATAACTTCATTGATAACATTATTAGTCGGGAAATTATATTAGCTGTGGTTGTCAATTAAAAACCACAAAAAAAATCTAAATTTATAGTTCCAGTCACCGATCGAAACTAAAAAGTTTTTTTACAATTCACTTTACAACTAGGTCGTAACTATTTCAGGTGAAATAAAACAAAACGACCTAATAATTGTAATTGAATAAATCTGAAGATTTAGAAATAATTTTATTTTCTTTAGTAAATTGAAGTAACAATTTAAAAAGATGAAAAACAAATGTCTGCTTATCTTGGGACAGGATCGTGGATGCACACTGTTGAAGAGTCCCATAATAGAACGAAACAGTTGTCTAGTGTTTCCAGGTTTTCCATGGTAGTCTAGTTTCAATTGACTCATGAACTCAACTAATAAATTACTATAATATCCATAAAAACCATTTTTCCAATAATTGTTTTTATTTTTCATATAGTAACAGGTTACTAATTTGATAGTTTGCATAGATAGTATTTTGACCTATATTTTGAATTGAATAGTAAACGTCGAAAATTTTATTCATTTCACTACATACTGTTGAATTTTTATTTTTATCTTTTGTCATCAAATAATACATTCAACTATGTACACTTTGATGACCTAAATTGATTTCCGTTTTTTGAATTTTTTTTATAATATTTATATAGTCTGTTGTCAACACGATACAAATGTATTGTGTATCTACTTCGCTACTTGATACGCATGATAATTTTGCTAATTTCAACAAATTCTATTAGTTACTAGTTGCCTACATTAGATGAACTATGAAAGAAAACTATCATACATATGACTAATTACTTATTCACAATAATGTTGATGACTTTAATAATTCTAGCTTTCTCATTCTTTCTTTCTATCTCTTTCAAATTTACTTATCCCTTTTTTATTTCTTGGGTAGAGTAAAAATGAAATTGTATTTTAGTTTTTAATTCAACCCGCATTTAAATTATGACAGGAGTAGTTAAAGAACTGGCAGTAGTAAGGTTGATAATAGTAATACCAATGGTAATTGGTATTGTTTAGTTGTGAATACTTTTTTCAATATTCTAGTCGAAAATTAGATAGATAGTGTTAGTCTCTACCCGGAGAAGTCGTAGCAGTGATTTTTCTCAAATGAAAATTTCAATGATTCTCTTTTTTTTTACCATGTCTAATCTAACTAAACTGAACATGGTTTCGTCCATGGTTGTCATGATATGATTTCCTTTTCTTTAATGTTGTGTTATAAACTTACTGTTTAAGGTTAGTATACTTTCACGTTGTTTTTCTTCATTGTCTGTCCATTGTTCTATCTTCTTATTTCTTTTGTTCACTAGTTTTTTGGTAGATTTTCGTATTCAACGACTCATCAACATTTTCTCGATTAATTTATCTCATTCATGATACGGGTTTTCGATACTTATTGTTAATTTTCTTCATTTATTTGTGTTTTTGTATTATGAGTAAACTGATGGAAGCACTACTGTTATCACTAAAGCTACAAATAAACATTGTTTCGATAGAAAATAAAAGAAGATAGGGAGTGAGCATATATGTATGTGTATTAGTGTATACATAACTACAAGGCTATCTATTGTACTGGTATGTATTAACGGGTTCTGTGACTGTAAGATACATACATCTGTCGAAACTTAGAAACAATCCATCTGTCTTTATATTTTTACTTCTAGAAATTGTTTGACCTCTTAATAGATATATGTTGCTGGATTTAATTTTTTTGTTGTTGTTAAGTTGTTTACTTTTTGAAAATGTTTTCTTTTCGTTTTCACTAATAGTAGATATAAATAAATATGTGTATATATTAATAGTAACAGCACTAATATAATTGTCTTATACACGTGACCAATCACTAAAAAAGAATGTATTTATCGAATAGTATATTCTCAATAATTTTAATATGTTATATGAAAACAATGAACTTTATTGTTTCATTGCTCAGAGACGTAACTAAGTGAAACAAATTTAAATCATTTTAAAAAATTCATGTTGAGGGACTTGTCCAATTTCTTTAATAGAGGATAATAAAGTTCTTTGAGAAATTGAATGTCAAAATATTGTGTAGATGGTCGTCACATTTACATTATATTACAAAGACAAGTACTTTGTGGAAACTTTTCATTGTAGATTATTTGTGATCAGTATAGAAATCACTGGAAGACAAAGATAATGTTAGTGGTAATAGAATTTTAGATCGCAAATCAGGAGTCTAAAAGGGCGTATTGTTCTAATCGCGTTTTAATGAACGTCTTAGATCGACTCTATTTTACACTACGGATGGAACAAAATAGCCTTCTAGTGTGTTTTGGTTTTTCGTAATTTCTTGGTTAATGCCTTTTTACGGCATCAAAAGGATTATTGGAATTTTAACAATCTTAAATTATTTTGTTTTTCAGCTAAATCATTGCTGTTTTTATAACACTCTTATCATGTAATGAGTGATTATTTTAATTTTCCGATAGTGAATAAATCTGAACTTGTTATAACTGAAACATACGGATATGGTTTAACATAAGGAAGAAGACAAACACTAGTTACAAATGAATGTTTATCTCAGATTCAAGTACTAGATTTTGTAAATAATATCTCAGTAATCAAATTTACCTCCGATTGATTATTAGTTAAACCTAAATAACTATAACCTAAACAAATATATTTAATACATAGTTGTAATAATAAGAATGCAAACTATTATCATACTGAATTAGTTCATAATCATACGTTTGATTTCTCTGTAATATGACTGCGTAAGCAAAATGTTATTGTAACTTGCATTATTTCTGCACTTATTATAACAGCCATGATATTGAAATTATAATTGTTTATGATTATTTTAAGAATATTGAGTACATTTTTTAAATAATAACAGTGTAATGTACAATTCTCAAATTGTAATAAATATTTAAATAGTTGAGATCATGAGTCAATTGAAGCTAGACCACCATGGAAAACCTGGAAGCACTAGACGGCCGTTTCGTCCTATTTGTAGAAATACTAAGCAGATGGAAAATCCCTCCAAAAAATCTTCAATACAATTTAAAAGTTATTAAATTTTCACTTGTTTTCTAATTGATTAATTGAGTACATTTGACATTTCCCCAAAAGTGTCCTGTACTTCAATTTCATTGTCATCCCTAAAAATAAAATAATCTATGGTTTATATAATGAAATTAACCTTGAAAGTGAAACTTCTGTAGTATTTTCTTTTTGTAAGTTCACCTATGGTTAATTGATGTATTTATGGGATGATAGAAATCCATTTATTAAAACATTTCATCACTTCACGACTCATTCATTCACTAAAACTAATAAGTAGTATTAAATGGAATAATTTTTAGAACTTCAGTCAGTAATTGACCAAATATTATTATTAATAAATTAATATTTGTATCAGAAAGAGTTTTTGTGGATAATATAGTAATTTCAGTAGTTGAGATCATGAATCAGTTGAAGCTATACCACCAAGAGGTATCACCTAGAGTTCTAGTGAGAAGCCGTAGAGTTCAACTGGGTCTGTTGTGACGTAGTAACTTACTAATGACAATGGTGCACGGTGGTGCAACTTCGTAGAGTGGTTGATGTTAGATAATAACACCGGTGGATGCCGGCTCAGTGGTCTAGAGGTTGATTGCTCGCGCACGAGGCCGATTGGTCCTGGGTTCGAATCTTGCAAGGCGGGATCGTGGATGCGAACTACTGAGGAGTCCCACGATAGAACGAAACGGCCGTCCAGTGCTTTCAGGTTTTCCATGGTGGTCTAGCTTCAACTGACTAATAATCTGAACTGCTGAAATGAATATTTTCATTGAATATTTATTCACCTCAGTTTTATTATTATTTTTTCTCTATATTATTTCCCACAGAAACTTTTGTCATTATTTACAAATCATAAATTACCAACCATAAAAGAAATTTCCGAAATAACATTCCCTGAATTATATATTAAAATAGAAGATCATCTAAATAAATTACTTGACAAAAGAATTATGCAATCCGATTCATTTAACTCCGCAATCAGCTTTTCGATTGAATTATGGAATACGATAAACAATCATAATAATAATAGTAATGTATCTAAAGATTGCATAGTCACAGAAAATAAGCAGCAGTTTGCGAACATTGGTGTTCATTACAACTCTAGTCAACCAACAATAACACACAATTATTTATATAAATCTATACAAGTAAGTATTTACAAATATGTTTACTTATTTTATAGTTGAGTTAATGAGCCAATTGATCCTAGACCACTATGGAAAACCTGGAATCACTGGACGGTTGTTTCGTCCTAGTGTAGGACTCCTCAACAGTGCGCATTCACGATCCTGCACCGCGAGATTATTTTTTTATTTTACATTTCAATGAAAATGTGTTTACTTGTTTGATATTCTATTAACAGACATAATTATGTTCACAGTAATGAACGACAGTCTACCATTGAGAGTTAATGACAGATTCACTCGATTAACATAGTTAACAAGATCAGTAATACAGTCAAATTCAGCAATGATAATTAATACAAAGAATGAAAGTGTTGTAACATAATAATAAAGAGCTCATGTATTTCATTAAATATGATAAACACTAGTTAATTTACTCCGAAGGATATAGAAATCAAAGTGATTTAAATTAATCAATATGAATTCTTAAAGAATCGTTAATGTATATCTAGTATTTCCTACTTCTCGAAAATTCTTCGACTAGATTATTGTCAGAATTAATATATATAAAAAAATTATTTTATGTAAACACACAAAGAGGCACCAAGTATATATGCAGCACATTTTATCTTTTGATTTGTGTAAGGGATGGAGTACCGACTGGGCGCCCAAACCGAAGCAGAGGGTTTCCTTAAGGGGTGACTCCCTAAACCTTTAACCTACAGGTCTAATCCATGAGCTAGTGGAACAACGTTAGTAGATGAAGTCTCATGGTAGTCAGTTGCTGATACTTTTCACGTTTATACATTGTCTGGCCCACCACAACCTAAAATAGGTTCTTAGTCCACTTATTCCGTCAGGATGCTGAAGCCAATGTACACCATTGGTTTGGAATCAGTGTTTTCCAACTCCATTAGTTTGATCCTCGATATCTAAAAACCTAGTTAAAGCACCGAACATTCACTTTTCTTTGTTCGAATTTCGCAGACTGCATATCGGCCACGAGAGGGCAGTGAGTAGGAGTTTCCTGAGATTGGCTGTATATGCGTGGCCATATGAAAGCATTTCTAGAAGAGGAGCTGACTCTCCCCACCCTTAACCGTACCAGAGCATTCGGTGGCTTAAATATTCTACAAACGTGAATAATCGTCAAGTAAATTCATCAGTTCCATTGTTCATAACAATTTATTTCAAAATCAACGAATGAATAGATTATAACAGAAAATTTTCCAGCTATTTATTAGGGCAAATTAAAAAAGAAAAGTTGTATTGTCTAACACAGTATTTTATTAATTTATTTTATAAAATAATTAGTTACTTTAATGTAAAATGTGTATATCATTAAGTAATCCAATACATATATCATTACTTCAATAATATTGTTATTATTTAAGAATCCGAATTGCACAAATTTGCTTGAAGTCGTGGATAAATGTCGAGCACGTTTATTATCTAAACTTCAACTTGTAACAAATGAAAATATGTCAGAAATTTCATCAACATCTTCAGAAGTGAATACAATTACTACTGCTACTACATCATCATCATTGTCTGAAACTACATCAACGGGGATTTCTGATAAAAATATTCATAATAAAACACCGGAACAATCTCAGTCACTATTAGAAGTTATGCAATGGCCAGTACCGATCATAACTAATGATGTTGAATTTCTAAAACATTTAATTAATGAAACTGAATCAAATGTTATCATATTACCATGTTTGGTATCAGAATTATCGAAAGCTTTATTAGTAAGTATATTATATTTTTCAATCTGATATAAAAATATAATATGAATAATGTCAGAAATCATACATGAAATAACACACATGTTATAAATAAACGCAGGATATTATTCAAAGCATCTATTCAGCTACCGATATAAATATATACTAATTTAAAAATACTGTGTATGATTTTAAAAAGGATCAATTTTACATTTGATACCTTAATTTGTTTTTAAGTAATATTGTTGTGTGTGCTTCTGATGTCAACATGTATATGTAGTATATATCATCAGTCAGAAGTGAAATGCCTGGAGGCAGAATGTTAAGGAGATCGAAGAAAAAAGAACGAGAACAGTAAATAATTGCTGTGGAAATGAAGGAATAGTGAAGTCTGAGACGGCCGATTGACATTTTGAGAGATAAATATTAACTGTATGGTTCTGTATGGTTTTAGTAAGATGCTCTGTAATATTGTGTTCAAATACAGTCGACTGTCCCCATTTGTATTCTCGTTCACTACAATATCTTGATTTAGATCAATTCAGATAGGTGATTTAGATATAATTTTGGATGAATTATTCTACCAGAAAAAGTTATATTGAACCACCAACCAAGTAAAAAATTTCCTGTAGTAGACTATAGTAAACATCTTAAAACTCTTATTAGAACTATTACAGTTAAATTGTGACTAGAAGTGGAATTCAAAACATACATTTCTCTCTATTTAAAACTCATCAGTTGTGAATGTACCTGGAATGAACCGAAATTCAGTTCATCTCATATTAAGCGGTAATGTATTATCCATTGAGCTAATAAGTTTAAATAACCATTATATTGTTCAACCGGTATGTTGCTTTATCTTAAATGTAAAAAAAATCATGATTTATTAAACTTCTATTTCTCTACAGTCTGATCTGTGCAATGACTTGAAAGTGAACTATTGACAAAATCTTTTAAGAAAAATTAAATCTAACCAACAAATATAATCCTTACTATGAATAACGATAAAGCTCAAACCTTCCTCTATGTTTACTCTACCATAATAACTAAATATTCAATAATCTATTGTTGAAATAGTATATTTCATTACCAATTGTTAGTATTATCTCTAGTTTAGTAATTGCAAATAAACAGAATTTTAATTATTGTTTTGGAGTTATAATATAGATCCCTATTAAAAGTACATCTTATCAAAACAAAATCATTAGTTCTATATATCTATAATATAAAGAAATATCTGCGATCAATACTACTACTACTACTAATATTATTATTATTGCCATTAGCAGCAGCAGTAGTAATAGTCGTAGTAATAACAGTTGTACTTTAAAGATCTTATATAATTGAATGAAATTATTATAATATTCACATTCCAACTTATGATTATTATCATTACTAATCTATATATGTGTATTTCCTTTCACTTTTCTCACATTGTTGTATTAATTTTATAAGATGAAAATGTATACTTGCTTTTATTTAAAACCAGAGATGGTGAAGAAGAAAGCAGGTGAACATTACATAACGATAACAACAACAAGAAAAAAAAAAGAGAACTAAATTATAATTAGTACCATAGTACTACTCATTTCTGTGAATAATTTGCTAAATAAAACAACCTCAATTACACATGACTTGAACAGAATAAATAGTAATAATAATAATAACAGTAATAATGATGATGAGAAAAAATTATGTAGAATTCCTTACTGTTTTGCATTAAAATAGACATTTTTTCTTGATCCAATTTCTCTCATAATTAACATTAATATTGTTTTATTCCAAAAAATAAAACATGAATAGTTCACAACCATAACTGTGTACATATGAAACATTGTACAACTGGTGCATATGTAGAATTCATGATAATTACAATGATTCATATGATTTTAAAATGTAATACTAAATGTAAAGTACATTGTAGATAAGATTAATATCTTTATAATCCTATAATAAAGATTGTTATAACCATTATAAGAATTTATCTTTATAATATATTGAATAGAAATATTATTCAAAAAGGATTCCAAAAAATATTAAAGAGGAATAGAATAGAATAGCTAATTTGTGTCACATGTGAGGCAGTTAACCATCGAAGACAATGAAAGGTGGTCATGCAATATCGTGGATCGGTTGAAGTTAAACATTAACACCGTTGGATAGTGTTCACTCGCGAGATCAAAGTTTCTGGGTTCGAATACCGTGTATGGAATCTTAGATGCACACTGTTGAGAGAAGCCCCACATTAGGACGAAATGGCCGTCAAGTGCTTCCAGGTTCTTAATAGTGCTCTAACATTAATTGATTTATGACCTCAATCAAAATAAACAATTAGTTATTTAATCCAGTTCTAAAACATTGTAAATGAATATTTCATTTCTTAGTTCTAGAATAAAACAATATATTAGGCCATATATCCTATCTATACAATTAATAATTTAAAACAATTTCATTTCAATAATTCGAACAAAGATGAATGATTTCTGTTATTTATTTAAGTCGTTTTTTCTCACTTGAAACGGTATATACAACAAATTACATTTTATAATTAATAGTTTATAAATAGAAATTTTAATATATTAAACAGTGAAGCATGTTAAACACATTATCATTCACTTAGACTAGGTGAAGAAATGTCAGAACTTTAGTTTGCCCCTCATCGGGATATTGTAAATACTGTTATTTTTATTTCATTATCATTATGGTAGTAATTAACTTCATGGATTAACATCAGTTATAGGGTCATTGAGGAGTATTGTATAACTGTTTTGTTTAGGTTTTGGATCTCTAAACAATACCTACTATTTGCCTTTCTACGATTCACGGTAATTTGTTTAAAAATATAGTAAAGTTGTTTCGATAAATCATTCAAATATAAAATTCCTATCATTTTTTTTGCTTTGTTAAGAACTGTTATATACGTGTTGATTGCTGAGTAGCAGTATTAGTAACCAGCGCCATATTTGTTTAGTTCACTTAAAATTGATCGAATTCTGTTAATTAGTTTACATAACAGTCCAAGTGAATTAAGATTGTACACACTATGCTTTTCATCTTCGATTACTCATAGTTAAAATCATCGATCGATAATATATATAACTTTAAATTTAGGCCAAGTATGTTCACTTTTCAAGAGAGACACCAATTCTCATAAAACTATTGTATTAGCTAAACAAAACATACCTTGAGCATTCTGGTAACTGTTTATACAACTATCTACTATAGAGAAGTAATAGTTATAATTCAATTTATGTAAAATATATCCTATCTCAAAATGAGTATAAATTTCACATTTAAACATCAGTTTACCATCATTGATCACATAATTTACTTTTTAAACATACTAGTCAAATAATATGAAATCTACTTAAAATGAAAAAAAAACATTCGTGTATCTAATTCTTATGGTCATTAGTTCACATAATTCATAACTTACAAATAGTATTGCTACAAATAAAGACGATTTTTCACTGACTTCTAAAACTTAAGAGACATCAATGTTGACATGAGATAACTAGATTTCGTAAATTCAGTCGCTTTATAACAACTAGCTCTGCTTATTGTAGGGTTTGATACTATGTCAAGCCTACATAGCCTATCCTAGCCTCTAGACAGATCAATCTATTCATCCTACTGAAGCTACACTTTTATCTTGTCACTTATTCGCTTATCAGCATTGATTGTTTTGTATACGATCGAATATGCGTCCATTCCATACCCTATTCATCATGTATTTGTAACTTATTTTTGTCTGACTATAAATATCGATTAACGCTTAATTAAGTGGAGTTGACCCTCTAGCCTTCTCCATTGAACGTCATTTTGATTTGGTTCGCTTTCCAATAAACGATTGTACGAAATATACGTATTCGAAATCTATTCTCGTGTTTGACTTATTTAATTCCGTTATTCTCTAAGGCGAGTTAAGTCGATGATTATATACGAAGATTGGCGACACGTATATTGTGATACCAATCATTCGTTCTATCTAACCGGAGTCAGATATAAGGCCACCAATATATATATATATATATATATATATATATATATATATATATATATATATATATATTAAAAGTCGAATCAATTAAAACTTGTTTAATAGCTTCAGCTGGTACTTATTTCTTTACAAAATTTTATTAAGTATATTAATCTGATTAGAAAATTATTTTTACCAATGGATACAAAATTTCTTATGATAATTCTGTGATAAAAAACACTCTCACTTGACTCCACCCTCATTTTAGATAAATCAGTTAATTGGGTTAGTTACTATTTCTTCAAATTTGTCAACCTGATAACATATTATCATGAGTATTAATCATATAGATAAATCTCTACATTAACAAGACTTTTATAAATCCATAGCTACGTGTATATATATGTATATAAATAGACACATACTCAAACAATTAATTTTACTAACATACTTTACTCTTAATTGTTGAACAAGAAATGAGGGTTTTACAGATAAAAATCAATGATTCATAATTTTATTTTATTTTATTTATTTATTATTACATGATAGACTATGTTTATATTAAAAATAATTGAGAAAAGAAAATGATTAATGAAAGCTATTCAATAATGAAAAGCCAACATGTACTAATAAGATTCTTATTTATTAATAGTAAACAAATAAGTGAATAAAAATATTTATAAAATAAATGAATTTTAGATAGAAGTTGAAATGAGACAATCTACATAGGATGAATAAATGGTAACTAATATTGATTGAAATTTACTCAAGGTTATCAATAAACAGAATAATTTGTACCCATTACATAAGCTAATAGCTATTTAAACTCAACAGCTTAGTGGATAACTCATCAAGTGTTTTAATTGAAAAGTATTGGATTCAAGACTTAGTGTAATATTCAATTCATGTTATTATACATCTAGTTATTGAGTCTTAAACTGAATAAAACTTTTACCATGGATTACAATGTTAGTTATAATTTATCTTTAAGAAAAAAAAATGTGGTTAATCACATTACTGAATCAATCCTCACAAAATGTACATACATATACCGACTAAAACTGATTAAATTCACTTGGTATTGTTCGGCTTCTATCTTTCCATTGAAGTTTAAGACTGCAATTGATCAGTTTGTTATTAGCATATGTGCATATTGTGCGTATGCCTTGATATTGCTTTAATTCACAAGCTTTAAGAAATGTGCTTCCTGTATTCCACTGCTAGCCACTATCCATCATTGCTTACATAAAACTGTTTAAGATTCATTTATGAATGTCAGGAAACATATAGTTCATTAGTGTATACATTAGAATTAGAGGCATTCGTGATTTTATCATGATTTATTACTGTTACTATTCTATAATTTAACTTTTCTCTCTTTTTTTAAAAAAATTTCTTTTTTACAAAGGTAGGACTTAATACCGATATAATTTGTAATTTAATAAAGAATTTAATAAAAGTTTATCAATATAAAACAATGAAAACGATAACAGAATATTCTATTCATAAATTTAATTTCGATGAGTTAAAAAAATCAAATTGTTGTAAAGCTGTTTATGATTTATTAAATTGGTATTTAAATGAATATTCATTCAATAAAAATAATAATGATGAAATTAGTAGTCATGGTGACAAGGAAAATATAAATGAAATTGATTTAGAAACTATAAAAGGCATCATTTCTATCTTAGATGTAAGTTTACTTATTTTATTATTATTATTATTATAAACATCACAGTAATTTATCCTTTTTTATTATACTTAGAAACTAAGTTGAGATTTATTTACTGATCCTTGAGTTACATCAGCTATATGTGAAACTACCTGGTTGTTGACATCGAAATAGGTTTGAATCTGGAACTTATCAGTTGAAAACCGAATACCAAGCCAGTTGTTTTAGCTGTATTACCAATAAAAATATAGTAGTAATTAGTTAGATTAAAGTAAACGAGTTGTTTTTTTTTTGAAGAGAAACTCTATACTAAAATGAATCTAAGTTGCATGTAGAGTTTATGTATTGTATGAGTAAAAGTATTTGAGACATTAATTTGATCATCTATAATGCAATTTCTGTGTCTTTTCAACATAGACTTCAGGAAGTTTCTTTGATAGATGTTAGTATTTCCGAAATAAATCTATTAAACTTCTCGATTATTATAGTGTTGGGTGTTACCAGGTCTATCCAAGAATTCACTGAAATGTCATTAATATTATGATTCTATGTCATCTATCCATACATAATACTTTGATCGAAGGCTTTTTAAAATAAAAAATAATTAGACCTTTGCCTATTCCTATTCTTGTAACAGAGCACATGCTATATGAGTTGTTAGAAGTTTTCTTATAGCTTATTCTCATTTATCATTACCATTCAATAGAATTAATATCTCATTAATATATTTTAATTTCTAACAGACAATCGGTCAAACTTTGGAATTTATCCACAAGAAAGATCTTATTCTAACTGGTTCAATGATTGAGCCAATATTAACAAATTTATGTGACACACGTCTTGCAAACGAATCATCAAATTTAAGTATTGTTGAAGAATTCAAGTCAACAATTGTATCCTATTTAATGAATTCTTTTCCTAATAATGGTACCATTTATGAAACATTATGGATTGCCAGTTTATTAGATCCACGTTTTAAAAGTCAAGTACAAGATAAAAAGCCAACAGTGATTAAATTGTTGAGAATGAAGGTAATTCATTTTTTGCGCGTTCATTAAAGTTTTAATAATATTTTAGTTAATATGGTAAATTTAAGTTTACTTTTTAATTTAACACTTTATACAATATAGCTAACAAAAGTGATTTATATATTTAACTAATGCTCACATGAGTACATACTTATTTCCGTTCCACATTTTTTACTATTCTTTTCAGGTTGACGCCATGCTCACCCAATCTCCTACTATTAACATTTGCAATAATACACCCAAATCAAATTCTGATAATCAATTACCATCTGAGACAACAACTTCATCTATCGATTCAACTACTATATCAAACAAGCCTAGTGAATTAGAAACTGTATTTGGTTTAAATTATTTTCCACGTACATCTCTATCAGAAGTTGATCGTTATCTTCGTGAAGATCCAATTGGATTAGAAGAAGATCCTTACCAATGGTGGCAGATAAAATCATCTAATTATCCAAATTTATCATTATTAGCTATGTATTATTTAGCTATATCATTAACATGTATTACACCAGAACGATTAAAATCATTAAATCACTCTGATCCTAATCATCAATCTATTCCAGATATTAAATTAAATTTATTAACATCAATATATGAAAATAAAAACAAACAGCAATTACCATCAACATCATTATTATTATTAGATTTACCAAATATAATTGATATATTTGGTCAAGGTCGTTTATATATTAATAATGAAAATCAAATCATGTATAATTATTTATGGCATAATTGGCATTTGACAAAATTTATTTAAATCTACTTTCGTTTTGTTTGTTTGCTTGATTCCTTCTTCTTCTTCTTCTTTTTTTTTTTAAGAAAAACATATTTTGTATAGACCACTAGTTTTCTTTATTGAATATCATCTTGGAAAATTTCACTCGTTGCATATAGTTTTTGTTCGTTTTTTGTTGTTGTTGTTGTTTGTTTCAAATTGACTACTTCTACTTTATTAATTTTCTTTGCGTTTATTTACCCCTGTGATATGTAAATTAAACCTTATCTATTTGTTCCATGGTGAATATACATATATGATAGACATTCATATAAATGTAAACATTGTTAAGTGATGTTTATTCCATGCTATCATTAATAATTGATATAATTCCCATAAATAGTTTTGATCGGTTCTTCACATATTTTTCGTTCAATTTTTTTTTTGTTCTTCTTCACCATATTTTAAAACATTATGAAGTTAATGATTGTTAATTTGACATTAATTTAGTACTTCTAAGAACATTCCTTATATTGATGTAATTATATCTAACATAAATAATGATGACAGTTATTTTTATTTAAAAGGGAAATTAAAAAAAGTATAAAGGGAAGTTAACCGAAAAAAATTGACAATACAACTTCTTGTTCTTTTCTTTTTCAAAGATTTTCAAAGCTCTTCTTTTCTTTGAAAAGAATATAATGAATTTCTATTTTCTTGGTAAAAAGAAACAAAATGTAAGAATTAAGGAACCTGTAAATTTCTTGAATAATTCTATTATGAATGAATATAAATTCATCTGTCATATATATATATATATATATATATATATATATATATATATACCCGAATATATTTCCGGTCTCTCTACAGTTTCACCACAATATCTACCAGCAATTAAGAAAAGAATATTGTAAATTGTTTTAATGTGTTTTCCCTCACTTCATTTTATTCTTTTACTGTATTAAGTAATGAAAATCTTTTTTCAGTGATAATTAAATAGTTATGTGAATTCACATTGTAATACAAATGGTGACCAAGTATTGTTATTATGGTTGTATGTACTGTTGTTGTTAGTATTGTTTTTTTTGGGGGGGGGGACTATAAATAAGTTGTTTTCTATCTTCATTTTGTACAGTTTATCAACTAATGATGAAAAATCACCATCAATGAAACAAAACAAAGAGAGGGAGAGAACAAAATTATTCCATAAAAATGTACAATCGGCTTTTTTCTCGTCTTCTTTAAAACCATTAATTGTGTTGTGTTTTCTAAAAAAAATCAACATTCTACACAATTTTGTTCAGTTTATTTTCTAAAATGTATGCTATAATGTGTTTATTATTATAGATAAATAAATAATTACATGAATTTCATTGTTTGTTTTGTTGTTGTCGTTGTTGTTGTTGACTTTTAAGAGATTGTCGCCATTTATATCTTAGAGAACTATCGTAGTAGTAGTAGTAGTAGTAGTAGTAGTAGTAGTGTAGTGAACGAAAACACAAGTGAGGATAACCAAATGTATTTGAAAACAAAATTACAGAATATCTTGATTTGATTTTGCATAGAATAATAAATTGATTTTTATCACCAAGTCATCGTTCACTATACTATAACTAGACAGATATTTAATGTGATGTAAGATTCGGTATCGTCAGAGACATAAAAAAAGAACAGTTAAAAGTAGTAATTTATTAGTCACAATATTGCATTAAATAAAACTACAGTTGTCTAAGTTATATCATTTTGCTTGTTACTCAATGCAGTTTTATGTTATATATTTTAGTAATTGTGTATGTCGTATAAGAGCTTAATTGTTGAATCATACCGGAAAATTGACATTCGTTTTTATAAAGTTTTTTTGAGAATAAAAAAGAAAAACATTTAAACACACCATTTTCATCATTTTTTATATGTGAATTTCACAATTAATCATAAACAAACTTTATTACTCAAAATCTAACTATTAACTTGGTTTTTATCAACGTGAAAAATCACCAATTTAAGTAGATTTGCCATTTAATCCTGATATGTAGTGAACAAGAAGATAAGTTGGGACAATCGAATATAGCTAAATGCAAAATTACAGAACACCTTAGTAAATTCTAAGAACCATACAGTGAATACTTCATTTGCGAACTGTTAATCAATTATCTCAAACTTGACTGTTCCTTCTGCAAAATGTTAATCAAGTGTCTCAGACTTCATTTTTCCTTTGTTTCCACACCAATCATTCTCTGTTCTCGTTTCTTTTTTCTTCGATTTTCTTAACATTCTGCCACCAGGTATTTCAATTTCGATTGATGATACATACTAATTATATCTGTCCACATCATTAGCATATACTACCGTAGTAGTGAAATGCAAAAAGTTTCGTGGATGACTTATAATAAATAATTTATTCAATGAACCATATAGATATTCAAAAGCAAATAACTAGGATCCTATTTTTAATTCGAAAAACCTAAGAACATGAATTGTTCTGTAATATCTTAATGATATCAATCTTTTGAGTTTTAACAAACCTGAAACAAATTAGGGAGAAAAATAGTTCAGAAAGTGAATACTTACTTCCATTTAGCTATTAGAAATATACATTTAGAAAAACAAAGGCCTTGTACTTTCTGGTGATCGTCTTCAAATATTCAACATTAAACCAAGTTCACTATGATATTGAGTCATTTTGACTGGTGAACATATTGTAAACTGTACCTAGATAATCAGACTATCACTAAACAATTGAGAATATTATGTCAACCAGAATATCATTAATAAGTCAGCCTTAAGAAAGAAATTCTTAACCACAATAGCCCAAATGATGTGAGTGACATGAATTTATATATGTAAACGAATTTTAGTTCTGTAAAAATTATACAGTTAATGAGTGAAAACTAGATTTCTAACTTTTTATCATGAACGTTCAATCATCTAGTTACTTTGCTGAATTAAATCATTTACTTCTCTATGTATTCATCGTTTATTACGCTTTTAATAAGATTAAAGATATTTTGGCGAGACTAACTTATAGACGAACCAATCAGGAAGAAGATAACAGGTTTTGGATTTCAGCGCGAAATTCACTCATCTATTTGACAAAATACCGTTCTGGCATTATAGCTGATGTCAGTTCGTGATGAAAACCCTAAATCTAATTCCTAATCATAACCATCAACTGTAGCTCACAATTCTAATTTCTCACACAGATTTATAAACTTCATTAGTCCTAATTATTATTTAAACACTGTCAAGGTCACTCTAGTGGTGCTCAAAGGTCGTCCATAAATTATGGTCTCACCTATATTTTTTTTAGTACGAAAGGTAGTACAGAATAGAAAAGTATCTTGACTATTGGTAACTATCGTTGATCGAGTTCATTCATGTGACTTTGTTTACATCAAAGCTTCAATGTGTTTATTTACGTGAAGAATAAGTGAAAAACAATATTCTTTGTATTAATAAAAGTTATCGTTTAAACTGAAACACAATGACTTCAGAATTTCAGGAATTTGTTATACTGACCTCTTTGAGTTAAACACAATGTAATCATTTATGTTCTGATATGAGAATATCTTAAGGAAATTTATGAAAGTTTTCTTGCTCAAGTTATTTGAACATTTCCAAAAAATAAGCAAAGAAGTGGCATTAAATTCAAATAGGTTTAGATGGTGGAAGGGGGTAGTACATATTGTTAGTCGATAATATTACTTACGACCAATGTTAAACTGAGCAGATCATCCAACAACAGATTTGTAGTAGACACACTAATCCGTACAGAAATGTTCTATAAATTACCTTTTTTTCTAAAAAAAAATATCCTCTCTACGCCAAATATTTGTAATGCTAAATATTAATTTGATAGGCTTTATAGTTGTACTTGATGAAATTTCTGATGATATTGTCCAGAACGACAATAGAACCTCTTGAATTAAACCACTCAGGTGAACGAATATAACAAAACCTGTAACATTCATATGATCCATTGATCATCATTATTTCTTAATTAGTTAACAAATTCACCGGTTCACTAACTTAAAATTTAATGTTAAGAGGTTCGTCAGCTAGTAATATATAGTTTATAAATAGAAGAGCGTTTCAACTTAGTTGAATACATTATGACAGATAGAGATATCTCAGTAGAATATATAAATGAACATGATGAAAAAGAACTTTTTTCTTGCATCAGATTTACGTCCAAGAAAACTATAAATTTTTAATTCAATAACATGAATACATTTATCCAAACAATTAACTGGAACGTGTCGAAAGTCACAACCTTCACTGTAGCATCAAAAGACCCAGTTCTTCAATTTTTAGCGATTAACCTTTTTCTCAGTTATAAGAAACGATCTAGTAACGACAAAATGTACATCCAGAAATTCTTGCTGACTGTCTCCCTTCACTTAACATATATATGTTAATAAAATGTCAAGAGTTTCTTCATTTCCTGCTTTCTAATATGAATAATCCTAATCGATAGCTTTGACAAAAATTAGTAAATCAATATTGGCTAAAGTTTTTTAACCGGTTACGTTGAAATTCAATTTATATTTGTAATAAGAAATGATTAGATCATAGTAATTCTTCCCAAGTACTCAAGGTTTACTACTATTATATAGATTCTGATATAAATCAATTTTTTAGGCAAATATGTAAGAACAGACATACGATTTTACTGTTAACAGTATTGGTTACCATAGTTATCTTATCAGTGTTTACATTCACTCTGGCTTCAGTCATATTAGAATACTTATCTGTTAAAAGCTTATGTATTTGAGGTTATTACATAATTCAAGCAAGTAATTACTGGTTATAGGATAATAGTTTTTAATTTAATAATGGATTTTATTGAGGCTTTTTGTAAGTAAGTTTTAATGGAAGTGAATTGTTCAGCTTACATAACCCTCAAAATTTTAGGAAATTGTTGATCGACACAAAGATTCAACAAAAATGAAAATAATGTAAATATTATCTACAGACCTGACTTAAAATATATTGTTAACTTTAATTGTTAATTAATCCAGTAAAGAGCTATGTTATTCCAAATCTTTAAATGGTTTTTAAAATAATTAACTTGATGAGCCGATTGAAGCTAGACCACCATTGAAAACCTGGAAGCATTGAATAGTCGTTTCGTCTTGGTACGGGACTCCTCAGCGGTGTGCATCCACGATCCCCCACTGGGGACTCCAACTCAAGACCTTCAGTCTCGCGCGCGAACGCTTAACTTCTAGACCGCTGAGCCGGCCGGTATCCAACGGAGTTAACGTCTAACATCAACAAATCCACGATATTATGCCAGTGTCTACCATTGTCTTCAGTGAGTTACTATCTTACAACAGACCCGGTTGAACTCCACTGGTCATGGCTTCTCACTAGAACTTCAGGAGATACCTCTTGAAGCCAGTCACTAATGAGCACATGATTTTTATTATAAGAATGCTAGTTCGTGGAGATTGTAGTAATTTAACAGTTGAATTCACGAGTCGATTAAAGCTAAAACACTATGGAAAATCTGGAAGCACTAGATAGCTGTTTCGTCCTAGTATGATCCACTTCAAACAAAATATACATCTTTTAGACTCGATCAAGTACTGTTGTTTTTAGAGACTGGCAGATCTATAAAAAGAACAACTTCTAGTATTAAGAAAACCAGTGACATATGTACACTAAAGTGCTTTCTAAGTAATTAAACTATTTATCATAACTTTGGGTTTATCTGTAATCAATTAATAACAATGAAAACAATGAGAATTTTACTATACACTGATTTGTTAAAGAGCCAGTCTGAAAGATCTCTTCCTAAATAATCCAAATAATAAAAAGTACAATTATCTTCAAGTACTTTGAGATCTTGATCAATGAATCTTCTGCTTAGCAAAAATGAAACCCATTTATCTTAATCAAAAATTGCTTCGAACAAGATTTACTGACATGTGTGTAAAAGATAAAATTACTTTGAAAATCTCTCTATATATTTTTACGTAAAGTTGTGAGCTGTCAATTAGAAATATTAACTGAAGAAATGAGGAGTGGAATGAAATGGTTACACAGCGCACTGATGAGGAGTTTCATAATTGGACGAAAAGGCCATTCAGCGCTTCCAAGTTTTTCATAGTGATCTAACCTCAATTGACTAATGATCTCAACCATTAAGTATCAGTTAAACTCATCTTGTTGATGATAAATATTATTAACCTAGAATAGTAACCAAATATGAAGAGGAGTTTAGAAGTATTATATTTATATAGGCTAATATTAACCATCTTGAGATGATTGGATAAACTTATTCCCACGCTACACCGCTAGAAATTTAACTTAATCCATGATTATTAGAAATTAAAGTGTAATCTAT